GCGGGCGGGGCGCCAGGGCCCCACCCTGCCCCAGCAGTGTGGCCACAGTCTGCTCTGGGGGGCGGGGCTGAGCGGCACAGCTGCAGCTTGCCAGCCCTAGAGCTGCAGCTGCTTCGGAGGCTGGGGGGAGAGCAGCATGGCCGGAAGTGGAGAGACCCTGACCCCGCCTCTTCCCTTCCGGCTTTGCTGGCTGTGGTGCCTCTCCTTGCTCCCTCTGTTGGGGGGAGGGGCTGTGTCCCACCTCTCCATCTCTATACCCGTTCATAAGCCGATCCCCTTCTCTTGTGCTTCCCTTTTTTTACTAAAAAAATTCGGCCGATGAACAAGTATATACGGTATTTTTATTATTACTGCTTCAAAACACTTAATTGGCTATTAATACATTAAAACAAAGTCCTATAATTATCATTGCAGTTCATATGTTTAGCGTTGTATGTTGTCATGTACCTTTTTTTTTTTTTTTGTTAGTTGGAGAAAACACATGAAATTCACGCTCACTTTGAGGAAGAATTCAGCCGCAGAAATCAGGAAACTGCCCAAGTGGTTAGTCAGCACCATGATCTAATGGAGTGTCTAAATGAGGAAAATGAGGCAAAGAATCAACTGGCACTGGAACTTCATAAAGCAGAAGGTAAGGAAATGAAACAAAAACAGATTTCAGATGCTATTTATATAATATAAAAAAAGTATTTGGAGGTGGATCAATGAATTTATAATGCATATTTGATTGCTTTATCTGCCCACTATGGCATTCTAAATCCCTGTGTTACTTGAAATAGATATGTCCTCTTTCTCCCATCAAATGTGGCACTTGCCTCCCCACCATCAGCATTACACTTACCTGAGGTCCGGAATGGGCCCAGTGTTCAGTACTGTATTAGTGGCATGTTTTTTATGCTAAAAATGTCAGGACTTTAAAAACCAGTATCTCACATTCTTGCATGGCTAGAAATGGAATGGGAGCTTTATACCATTCGGAAAGGGGAGATGCCTAGTTTCCCAACGGGTCCCAGCACTCACAGCTAGTCCAGAAAGGACCCACATGACAGTAGAAGGAAATATTTGATGAGGATGTATGCAAAGGAAATTATAAAAGACATGGGAGACAAAAGAAAGAACAGGCTATTAACCGGAGAGCATTGAATACCAACTGGCAGGCAAAATTGGAATTGCTAAATAATTATTTTACTTTGTCTATCACTGAAAGAAACAAGTGACCTTAGTACTTGATGTTCGTAATTTTAAAACTAGCAGGATGTGATGAAAATTCAGGAAGTAGTCAAGGAACTCTGTCATTAGCAGTTGCTTTTGGAAACTTTTCTTAGACAGAAGTCCCAAGAGGTGCATAGGGGAAACATACTGTCAGTTTTGGGAAGTGTGAGACCCAGTGAAGTACAAACCAGTTGTTCTCTGATGACTTGGGAAATAAAAGCCAGCATTGGTTTAAAAGACTGATGGTCGCACCAAAATACATGTAATGTCATTCCTTGTCAAATAACTAGTTTAATAGTATTGTTGAGTTTTTGTAGTGTGCTTTTATGTGCTCAAAGCACTCAGAAATGTTACCTAATTAAGCCTGATGCCAACCTTTGTAGGCAGGGCCAGCTCCAGGCACCAGCCCACCAAGCTTGTGCTTGGGGCGGCACCTGGAGAGGGGCGGCGCAGTGTGGTGCTCCGGCTCCGGCCGCCGGGGAGAGCGGAGCCCCGGCCGGGGCTCGCCGCCCTCCCCCCGGCGCTCTGGCCGCCCTCCCCAATCCCCTGCTGCGCGGGGTGGCCAAAAAGCCAGAGCCGGCCCTGTTTGTAGGCAGATATTATCCCCATTTTACACATGAGGAAATTAATCATCAAAAAGGCTGTGTTGTCCATTTCTTTGGAGAGTGAGGGAGAGAGGCTGTTTAGAGAAGGGGTAATGGTTGTCACAGTTACATACAAGGTTGCTATAAGCAGGAAGGGGAAGAGAACTGTTACGAATAAGACATGAAATCATGGATTTAAATGGGAGAGAATTTCAACTTTAAATATCTATTTTAAGAAGTGCTGATATTGAAGTGTTACACTCTCTTACAAATATATTTAAAACGGGGAAAATGTGTTATGGCATCATGGCATGCCCCTAAAGGCAGTGGTGGAATCCATCAGTACTTGAGATCTTGGTTACAACTTGATTATATGAATGGGTGTGATGCTCCTTTTGAAAATTCTTTTGTTGTTTCTTGTACATGGTAAATTTTACTGTTAAGAACATAAAAATGGCTATACTAGGTCAGAGTAATAGCCCACCCAGACCAGTATTTTGTCTTTCAGTGGGGGCTGGTGCTAGATGTTTCAGATGGAGTGAACCGAACAGGGCAATTTATCCAGTGATCCATGCCCTGTTGTCCTGTCCCAGTTTGTAGCAGTTAGAGGTTTAGGGACACCCAGACCAGTGGGTTGCGTCCCAGCCTTCTTGGCAAATTGCCTTGGATGGACCCATCCTCCATGAACTTATCTAATTGTTTTTTTCAGCCAGTTATGGTTGTGGCCTTCACAAGATCCCCTAGCAACAAGCTCCACAGGCCAACTGTGTGTTGTGTGAAGAAATATTTTCTTATGTTTATTTTAAACCTTCTGCCTATTAATTTCATTGGACGGCCCCTGGTTCTTGTGTTACGTGAATAGGTAGCTAACACTCCCCTATTCACTTTCTCCACACCATTCAGGATTTTGTAGATCTCTGTCATATCCTCCCTGAGTTCTCTTTTCCAAGCTGAACAGTCCCAGTCTTCTTACTCTCTCTTCGAATGGAAGCTGTTCAGTAGCTTTACTTGTTTTTCTAGCCTTCTCTGTGTTTTTTCCAATTGACCAGAACTGCGCACATTATTCAAGGTGTGGGTGTACCATGGATTTATATAGTGGATTTAAAGTTCACATGTAACAGATCTGCTTTGACAATGGTTTTCAACCTTTTTTTCATTTGCGGACCCCTAAAAAAATTTCGAATGCAGGTGCAGACTCCTTTGGAAATCTTAGACATAGCCTGCAGAGCCCAGGTTGAAAACCACTGCTCTGTGGTAACGACAACCTTCTGTGGATCCTTTAAACATAGTCTGTGGACTGCCAGGGGTCTGCGGGTCACAGGTTTAAAACCTCTGTGCTAATATATATCTAAATTTTGGCTTGTATAAGTTACAAATAAATGTTCTTTAAGGAATTTCTTTCATAAATCAGTGCTATTATTTGTGCAAGGCACACCTCTGGCACAACTTGGACCTGTCTAATAGCTCAAAGAAAACTTAAACATATTGTATGCACTATTAATTCATATGCTGAGAATTAACCAGATTCTTCTGTCAGATGCCCTTATTTTAGTTTATTTCTTTCCTGCAGACAGGCTTTGGAGCATCTTAAAATGCCCTTAGTATGTTATTGGTTTTTTTTTTCCTACGATTGAACTAAGATACAGTACTGAATTTAAAATAAACGGGTTGTTCTTCGAGTGCTGTCCCTGTGGGTGCTCCACTTTGGGTATTGGTGCGTCCCGGCACTGTTGATCAGAGATTTATGGTAGCCGTGTCTGCGCGGGTAGGTGTCTTGCGGTGCCGCTGGTGCCGCATGTAGTGCGTGCACGACCTGAGCCCTCTAGTTCCTTCTCAACTGTCCTCGGCTGAAGACGGAGCTCTGGGGCAGTATTAGCACTCTTCCCTAAAATAGTTAAAAAATAGTTTAATTAGATAGTTAGTTAGAAAGTTATAGTTACCGTTAGTGTTAATTCCCGTCTGGCCCCCTTCCCCCCCCCCCCCCATAAGACTATTTTGTTAGCTACCTCCTCTCAGGGGATGGTTATCCGTTAAGATGCCTGGCTCCTCAGGCTTCAGACACTGTGGCTCCTGCATGAAGCTATGCCCATTTCAAATGGGCATTCATTGTGTGTACACAGTCTGGGTGAGTGGCATAACCCCCAAAATGCCCCCACTGCAGCAATTTGAGAGCCAGAGCCTGATGTGATAGGGATCTCTGGCTAAAAATGATTTTAATGGAGAAATCCCTCCAACCCAATTCGGACAAGCAGACTGCCTCTCTAGACACTCCTCCAATTGGAAAAGGAGACATACCGTATGAAAGACCAAAAAAGAGGGCTCAGAATTCTCCGCAGAGAGTACTGTGAAAAGAAAGGCTCCTGCCAGGTCGCTACCTCCAATGCTGACATATGCTCGGGGGAGCACCTGTGATGCTCCAGGCACCTCCAGCAACGCCGAGGTCCGAGCAAAGGAGACAGAGTCAAGGCACAAAGACATGCCTCCTCCATGGCACCAAGTTCACCTGCAAGGGACTCGGCACTGAGCATCTCCCCAGGCACCATGCCTACGCCCTCGGCACCGACAACACAG